GTGTATGCGTATGTGTATGAGTATGTGTGTGTGTTGTGTGTGTGTGTGTGTGTGTCTATGTGTGTGTGTATGTGTATGTGTATGTGTATGTGTATGGGTATGTGAATGTGAATGTGAATGTGAATGTGAATGTGAATGTGAATGTGTATGTGTATGTGTATGTGTATGTGTATGTGTATGTGTATGTGCATGTGTATGTGTATATATGTGTATGTTGATGTATATATGTATATGTCGATATATGTGTATGTTGATGTATATATGTATATGTCACACGTATTCTACCTACCTTCTGAAATATGATCGAAGAGTCCCTGTAGTTCGTCATCGCCGCTCACTGGGCCGACTGATGGAGTGTGTACCGCACTTTCCTTCTCTTTGTCTTCTGCAGTCTTTGGGTACTGAGATGCGTCTCCAGATGGGTCTTTTTCTGACCCGTCTTTAGTTGGTGGGCTTTGCTGAGTGTTGTTCGTATCAGTGTCTGTGCGAGTATTTACATAGTACAAGTTTGTATTAAAAAGTGCGATTGACGATGCTACTATGTGATCGACGCGCCTACTACAATAATAACAATATGGATACCTAACTATTGGCATATATTATATACACAAAGTAGTAAAACGTATATATACACGCACATGTTTTCGTTCTCATGAAATTTCATCATATGATTTACTACCAAAGGTCAAAGTCGAACTAACAATAAACCTCTCTCGATTCCTATACTCGATGATAGGTCATGGTGTGAGCTGCTATTGGCATTTGAATAGATACCAACAAATAGCATATTCATATAAACGGAAACTTATATATAAATACATATCACTATCAGTATATACATTCATATATAGAATATATACTAATACATATCCTTACTCACCCACAGGCGGGACAGAGCTCTCTTCACTCGTGGCAGATTTTTCGACTTCCTTCTCAGGCCCTTCAGACACAGAATCCACATCGTGTTTTGCATCCGCGTCTTCCTCTTTCATTGTCTCTCCCTGATCATGGGCCTCACCCTCCTGCGTGTTCGAGTTCTCCATTTGTGTATCTGGTTCACTTGTACTGTCTTCATGCGATTCCTCTTTAACTGTCCCACCTGCCTCATCTGCTTGATCCACGGCCGATTCGGGCTTGTCGGATTTGTCGGCTGTTTCTGCCACTATAGGGAGCATTAGGCGTATGCGGTTCAGGTTGGAGCATCGCTCACAGACAACATACTCAAAACTATGCCGCAATGTACGAGACTATAACACACAGCAACACTCGGTAACAAGTGCGTCACCCAACAATGGTCGTGTGGGAGTTCACTTGGGTGATTGTATCAGTATTTGTGCGTGTGACTACTAAACATATGTGTGCATATATGACTGCTTTGACTTCGAATATGCTATGGCAATGTTCTTGTGTGTTCATGCGCGCTTATGGCTGTCAGATACAGCTCGAATACTTATTGCGTACCTACCTAAACACATACTGTAATAAGTATAATAAGTATATATAATTACTACATAAACACATATACTGTAATAAGTATAATAAGTATACACAATTACTACATAAACACATATACTGTAATAAGTATAATAAGTATATATAATTACTACATAAACACATATACTGTAATAAGTATAATAAGTATATATAATTACCACATAAACACACATACTGTAATACGTATAGTAAGGATATATAATATACATAATTACTACGTAAACACATATACTGTAATAAGTATAATAAGTATATATAATATATGTAATTACTACATAAACACAGAGACTGCCACCAACACGCACACAGAGGCACCAGTGTATTCCTTCTCAGCTATTATACAAAGAAAACGAGAATATCCATACATTTGTATGTACATATATGTATATATAAACACCTATTGACACACTCATATAAATATCTATTAAGCATACACCTATGAATACGAACATATGCGTGTACAGAGATGCAGTTGGCTTCTATCTACCTTCTGAGTCTGTGTCTGCCTTGTCCTCGATTTCGGACCGGATTTCCTCCACCTTTTCTGTCGCGATCTCCAATATCGCTGTTGTTTGCTGCACAATTATAGAAACAAATCCCAATTGAGAAGAAGCACTTCTGAGTCCAATACCAACGAATTCTTCAACTTCAGAACCAACAATTGAGAACAGGCACGGGTTATGAAGAACCTCGGTCAACCCGACTCAGGGATATACACCGACAACCTCATACACCACAACACTAACCCCAATTGACA